TGCAGTGAATTCCAGTCTAGGAATTAGGACTACGTTATGTATAGCTTTGACAATACGGTTAATGGAGAGTTTCAGATCTAATAGGACATGTGATAAGGGGAACTGTTGAATGTACAGTTAAACACCAATTGACTGGTGTGTGGTATGGAAGCCTGGGCTAAAATATCAGCTTTGTCCCTTATTAGTCCTGGGAAAATAAGATAGGGCCTGGGAAAGGGAGACTGGAGGTATTAGTTGGCCAGGGCACCACTAAATCAGAGGAAGAATATGGAGCCAGATGTGAGTACCTGCAATAGCAACTGATGCTCAGACACTGGGAGGGAGGAATGCCATCCTGGCCAGGGGTTGGGACTATGTGGGTAGCTGCTGCTGAGCTGGTAATGAAGCAGAGCTCATGTGCAAGGATTGCAGTGAGTGAGAACAAAGCTCTTTCCACCAATAGCACTGATGGTAGAGTAGTGGGATGGTTCTGCTTTCAGGAGCTTGTCTGAACAGAAAAGTAAAATTGGACCTGTTTCCCTCTCAGCTTATTCAATAGGACAGGTTAATCCTTGGTCTCTTGGAGACCCATAGTCTTGGGAGTAAGAGCAGTCACAATCACCCTTCCTAAGAAATGAAGAATCTGTGGTCCAGAGAGTAGATCTCTCACATAATGTCATGTAGTTACTTGTTAAGATAAATGTATTCATGTGTTAGGGGTAGAACTGTGTCCCCCCTCAATTCATATGTTGAAATCCTAACCCCAGTATCTTGGAATGTGACCTTATTTGGGAAATAGGGTTGTTGCAGATGTAATTAGTTAAGATGAGATCACATTGGAGTAGGGTGGGCCTTGAACCCAGTATGACTGGTGTCCTTATAAAAAGAGGAAACTTGGACACAGACACTGCACACAGGAAGAAAGCCATGTGGAGATGATGACAGAGAGCAGGGTGATACTTCTATAAGCCTAGAAACACCAAACGAACAGAGTTAGGGGAGGAGCATGGGACAGATGCTTCCTCACAAGGAACCAACCCTACCGTCTTGATCTCAAACTTCTCACCTGTCGAACTGTGAGGGAATAGACTTTTGTTGTTAAGTCACCTGGTATGTGGTTCCTTATTACAGCAGCCCTGGGAAACTAACACAACATGGAAGCAGATATTGCTTTCTGTTGTTGTTTTTAATGAAGAAAAAAAATCTTGGAAATTGATTCAACTTTTCATTTTAAGTGAGATTTTTTTTTTTTTTTTGCTTAGCAAGTACATAAACAGAAATTCTTGTAATTCAACAAAAACGATGGCATGAAAACTCACACACTATGGCTATACTTATCCTATAAAGAAACCAGCAGGTTTCTCAGTGAGATCATTTGAAGGTGCCAATTATTTTCTATTTATCTATTCACCAAGTGACAGTGTTTAGAATGCCCACAGAAACGTTGAGAAGTGCTGACTTAGAATCACAATGTAGGATTGATCAGGAGGTTTGGAGACCTTCTCTGTAAAGGAAGCAGTAATCCAACATTCAGGTTTCTCAGCATTTCACCCTCTGATTAAACTACATTTGTTTGGTGTTTATTTCCATGAGCATTTTCTCAATAAGAGCTATTTTAAAAGTTATACTGTAACTTTGTTTGAATAAACTGGAGAGGCTCGTTTTAATTAAGTATTTTTTAAAATAGGAATTTGTTTTAACAGATTGAAAGAATTTTTGTCTTAGCATGTGTTCAGCAGTAGCATTTGCCCAAAAAGACCCTTTGTCCTAGATCTCTGGATAGACAGACATTTAAAAGTGTCTTGTCACTCCACAGAATAATACCAAAGACAGATAAGTGACAGGAAGGATTTCTTGGTGAAATCTAATGGTGGAAAAGTTGAAGTATCAAAGCAAAGACTGAAGTCTTGTTTTGGACCTTTTTTTGTTTGTTTTCGAAATAACAAATGGTCAGTCATAAGTAGTCAATCACAGGTATACAAGCGCTTAAACCAAAGGGAATATGAACCATTCAAGGCTACTTTGGATACAAAACAGAATCAGCAAGAGAAAAGGGTCCACAGGGTGAAGTCTGGAGGAAACTGGGCACAGGCTTACAAGTGTCCTCTCCAAGTAGAGTCACACAGAACACATTTAGTTACCCCAACAATAACTCGTGACAACATGTGTGAGGTGTTGTCTACCACGAAAATGGATTATGGACTATATCCAGGCTTTTTTTTTGGGGGGGGGGGGCTAGTCACATAGCACCCATATGCCTAGCACACACCCAAATTCCATATTCCCAGAAGGAGAGCAAGTCTTCAGCATGAACTATATTTTTGTCCAGATAGTTTAGGCACAGTGAGCCACTATTACCAGTTCTGGGAACGGTAGGAATCCTCCTGAAATCCAAGTTCCCAGATGCTAGCCAAGGTTTAACCTTGCAAGCAGGCCTTTCTAAAGATGACAGTCTCAGGATTGTTATGTTGACCCTTTTCTGCACATGCTCTAAAGCCTTCATATACAGAATTTGAAGAAAATTTACAAGACCTACAAGAATCCATTCTGTTTTCCTTTTCTATACCATTTGTTTTGCTAAGAATTCTGAGTTAGACAAATGCAAGTCCTTGTGACTGTTGTAAAGATTGCTAGATCTGTTGGGTATGTACTTCAGAGTGCAAAGGGCCAGTGCCTGATCATCCCACCTTCCCCTCCAAAGGAATTATGCCGTTTTGCATTTCCACTAACAACGCATGATGGTGCCTGTTTATATGTAGCCATGCCAACGGTGTATATGTTGTCAACCTTTGGGGTTCTGACGATCTGTTATGACAAAGATCGCATTAGAGTTTTATTTTTCATCTCATTTATTGAGTTGTTTTGAGCATCTTTTCATACACGTAAGGGCCAGTTATATCCTCCCTCTCTTCATGAAATGTATGCCCTTTAAGGGGATAGCTGGGGGTATAACACTTGAAACAGAAACACGGCAAGGGCATTCAAGTGAAGAAACTGAAGCACAATCTGGTTAGCACAAAGTCATTCCAGCGTTAGTCCTGGCCTTCTCAAAGTTACCAGAGCAACCTTTTCCTGACCCTCCTGAGTTAGCTTACCCAACGGGAGGCCATCTGTGCCTACTCAGGAGCTCCCACACCTACCCCCTCTGGACTTTGCGCACCTCTAGCTGCAGATCCATGGGGAAAATCTCCCTGCATGCCCCATCACAACAGCACCAGCAGGACACCAACATCTAGTTCTCAAGTTGGCTCAGACTCAGCATCACAAACAGCTCCTCCGTCATAGATAAAAATCACTTCTAACCTGGTTTGGCTTGGTTTTGACTCCAACCTCTTATGTTGACTTGGCTCCATCTCTCTCGAGCCTGAACTGTAGAAACATCACCTTTGTTCCACTCTCTTCTTTTCTCCCTTCCCTCCAATAATAATAATAATAGCTCTTTCATAGCACTGAAGACATACCAGGTACCGTTGTAAGGGTTTTAATATGTTTACTCATGAATGCTCAATAGCTACTAAGGTAGCTATTGTTATTTTAATTTTAAACAAGAGAAAACGATGGCACAGGAGGTTAAGCAGCTTCTCAATGCCATGAGGCTAGTGACACGGCTTCAATTCAGAGCCCTGCAGTCTGGTTCCAGACCCATGCTCTCAACTCCTCTATGATCCTAGCTCTCAGGTAACCTATCCTGAGTTGTACATAGCCATACTGCCACGGCCCAACACTGAGCTAATAACATCCCTTACCAGGCCAGTGAAAACCAGGAACACTAGAGAATCACAGCCAGTCATCTGCTAACTAGAATTTCTCCACTTATCGGCATCTCCCAACCTCCTGAACAGCCATAATTTATGTTCTCAATAATGATCAAATGAACCTCAAAATCCTGAAGGGCTTCATGAACTCTTATACAGCACATGCATGACAGCACAATATGAATGCACTTACTGTCATTGACTTGTACAATTTAAAAATGGTTTTGGTGGTAAATTTGGTTTTGTGCATTGTGTCACAATTTTTACAAAGCAGATACAATTTCATGTGAAGCATTTCTGAAGTATAAGTATTTTAGTGTGTCAAAGATGCGTTTTCTCATCACCTAAGTAACCTTTGAGGGGAAGTGTTCTACTCTGGTTTTCTCCACCCTCCGTGCTGATACTGGGAAAATAATCTATCCATAGAGTCCAGTTACCACTTGAAGTGTGATCCTGAAGGTCAGGTCACCCTTTGTATAATTCTGGTTTACAGACAGCCTCCATGCTCACAAAATAGCACCATGAATGTTCAATTGCCCAACTGCATGTGGGAGCACAGTTCTCTTTAATTTGAGCCTTTGGAGCTACCTTAGGTTCTTCCCAGTCATGGCAGCATTTTCTCCTTGCAAGGCTAGAGTGATTCGCCTCCATCCTCAGCCCTGCTACACATCTCACCAACTTGGTATGTGTGCCCTTTGACACTTCATGACAGCATGCTTCTTCTAAAGCTTTTTTTCTTATACCCAACACTGCTGATTCTCAGTACCACACTTTCAGTCCTCCAGGGAAGTTGCTCAAAGCCCCCCTCCCCCCACTTCTTCTATTCTACCTCCTCCTCAGGTATTTAAATCCCTATTCTGCTCTCAGCAATTAACACCAAACAGGTCTTTCTTGTCTCCAAAGCTCTCTTCTGCTTCCTCTTTGAGATAAATTCGGCTGTTGATCATGGTCATGAGTATCACACTCATGCTCTGTATGTGTAACATTTGCAATGAAATACTTGAACAAACAGAATATGAGAGTTCAACAGTTCTACAGTGAGATTGAGGAGAAAGAAGGGTTAAAGTTTGCCTTTAAGTGGCATTCTTTTCTAAGTTTTATTTTATATAGTAGTGGGGTAGAAAGTTAACTGTGCTAAAGCAAATCCCCTTTCTATTATCATTAATTTAAAGACTAGACTGGAGACCTCTGGTGAAGAAAAGGTTAACATTGCAGCCCTGTGGCATTTCAGGACAGCACTAAAACCTTGCTGAATTTAATTCTTACCCAACCTTGCAGTTTTTTCTTCTAAGCTTCAGGCTTCCTCCTGCCTTGTGTCTTCTCCCTGAGCAACAATCTTCCTTGTAGCACTGCCCATATTTCCTGGACTTCACTCATCTTCCCATTTCTGAGCACACTGGAAAATATTAGCTCCTAGAATTATGCCCTGATTTTTCTTTCTTTTCTTTTCTTTCCCCTTCCTTCCTTCCTCCCTTCCTTCCTTCCTTCTTTCTTTTCTTTTTCTTTCTTTTCCTTTCTTTCTTTCTTTCTTTCTTTCTTTCTTTCTTTCTTTCTTTCTTTCTTTCTTTCTTTCTTTCTTCTTTCTTCTCTTTCTCTCTTTCTCCCCTCCCCTCCCTCCCTTTCTCTCTCCCTTTCTTTTTTTCTTCCTTTTCTTTCTCTCTTCTTTCCTTTCCTTTCCTTTCCTTCCTTCCTTCCTTCCTTCCTTCCTTCCTTCCTTCCTTCCTTCCTTCCTTCCTTCCTTCCTTCCTTTCTTTCTTTCTTTCTCTCTCCCCCACCCCCCCCCCCTCTTTCTCTCACAATAGTTTTAACCATGTCCAAGGAGGATCTGGCTAATGCCCTTGACTTCACCATTAAATGTGGTCATTGTCACACATGCTTTCTGACTTTCAAGCCTGAGGCTGCAGGTGATGGAAACCGACTTCCCTACTTGATCAGTTGCGTTAATTTTTAAATGCTATGCTGTATCCCACACTCACTATGAAGTGTAATTTGTCTCCCATAGCTTTTGAGCAAAGTGGATTATCTATCATATAGTTTGCTGGTTTTATCTCCATCTCAGGATAGATTTACGTTGATGCTTCTTCTTTTTATTCCCGGTTGAATAGCGGCTATGCCAACATGGAACTTTAAAAAGTGTAACTTTTCAAAAGCATAGCGTAGGGGGATTGATAATAAACAATCCTGCTACTCCTTACAGAGCATCTACCTCTGTTTATACCTCATAGCTCAAGGTAAGTTCTCTTCTCCAAGAAACTCCTCCAGACCTTTCCCCCCACCCACTCTGATCTTTTCCATTTCTGGACTTCACAGAATCTCTATTATTTATCCTCAATCAGATACGTGATCATATTCTGCTTTGTATCAGTCACAATCATTTTATAAATGCCAATCCTGCCACCTGACTTTGAGGCAGATTTTCAAGGTCAAAGTTGTTAGCATCTATTTGTGTTGTATTTTCAGTGCTCCCCCACAGTAGGGGGCTGCCTTGGTGGCCAGGAAAAGAAAGCAGCAAGGGTTGAGGGGTCCTGGACATCAAGGTGAAAGGCAAGAACACCTGCCCTCGAAGTGTCCAAAGTCTAATTGAGCAGATAAGCATGATTACATAATTTTGAGTTGTAAGCTATATGAACCTGCTCTGGTTAGAACTCAGAGATTTATTGAAAGAATATGAGGGAGCTCACATGATCAAAGGGAAGTCTCAAGGACCAGATTCCAAAAAGACAAGAACTTGGAAGCTTAGGGAGTTTGTCAGACCATCTCTTGAGAATATTATTTCTGGAATGAATCAGGCAAAACTCTTCCCAGTCTTTTCAATTCTCTGCTCAAGATTCAACAGAGTGGGAGTACTCCACTATGGCAGAGTAAGTGCCTAACAGACTGGCTCCACCACAGATAATAACTGCAAATGATACAAAAAATGCAAAGACAACTATGCAACATCTCTGGAGAGGGAACAAAAGCAGGCAAATTTGAAAGAGAGTCAAAATTTGAAGAAATTCATTCAAGGTGAGTTTCCTTTGGGGGAGGGGGCAGGCAGTTGGCTTGAGTAAAGGTTGTAGTCATTGTGTGGCATAGGGTGGCTTCAAGTCTAGTGGAACACCTGCCATCTTTTTGGTCTAAGCAACCAGGGGACATACGTCCCTGGGCAACTATGGCCATCAGGAATGAAGGAGGAATCCCAGAGCAGAGAGAACCAGAGAAGGTAAGAGGAATGATCTAAAAAAAAATTTTTTTTTTATTGATTTTAGAGAGAGAGGAAGGGAGAGGGAGGGAGAGATAGAAACATCGATGAGAGAGAACAATGATTGGCCACCTCCTGCATACTCCCCACTGGGGATCGGGCCCACAACCCGAACTGGCGACCTCTTGGTGCAGGGGTCAACACTCAACCACTGAGCCACAGCAGCCGGGCAAAAGTCATGATTTTTGACTGTAGAGGAAGTTCAGAACCTGGCTGGGATCAGATACCAGGGAATGGCCAAGCACAGGTTGGGTCCCAAAGCTGATGATGCCAAGGCCTGTGGGCATTGCTTAGGACTGTACTGCCTCTACCCACCCTCTTCCTAGTGTCTGCATCTAGTAAGGAGGAAAAGCACATAAAGAAATCATTCTACTTCGTACTAAAACATTAAAAAGTCAAGTAAAATACTAAGGAGTTCTCAGGATGAAGATACTTCTGGTTGGCTCTTTAGGGACTATTGTGTAACACGCCAGCATGCCCAGAGACTTTATCAGTGTGCCAGGGACAAGATCTATTTTTGACCAACAACATACAGGGTGTGTCCTACTTTTAAGTAACTCTAATAAATAGAAACCTATATTTATATTATAAGTATAGTAAGTTGTATTGAGTTACTTTGGCTAAATCATGTTGAAACTCATTCCATATCAAGCTCTCCTAATCTATTCAGTGGAATTTGATTTACAGTTGGAGGGGATTTTGGTGGCCTGCTGAGTAGTCTGCATACAGCAAATCTTCAACCAGCTGTTATTTGAGCATCTATAACTGTGCAAAGTCTAAGTCAAAGTCTCTACCTCCAGTAAAGCCACGTGGAGTCTACTTAGGGACATGTGATCCCTATACCAACAGACAAATATTAACTTATGATAAGAGCCAACTGAATACTGAATAGCATAGCCATTAAGTCATAGAAATTCTAAGGAGGGAAAGCAATCACTTTGAAAGAGAGAAAACAACAGTTTGCATGATCTGCTTCTGCAGAACGGGTACTAAGAGCTAGAAGAGGTGAGTGGTCAGTGTGAGGGAAACATGAGAAGAATGGTCACATTTTTGGGGAGCAGGTGTCCTGATGACACGGCTTTAGGACTGGTTCAGTCTGTCTAATACTGAACATGCCCTGATCCTGCAATCTTTCAGCCGACAGATAAAATAAAAGCATACTTTAAATTTATCTCAGTTATCTGTTTTTTCATCCTTACCCAAGGACATTTTTCCATTTTTTGTTGAGATAGAGTGGGAGGGAGAGAGAAAGAGAGATAAACATCGATGTGAAAGATACACATTGAGTGGCTGCCTCCTGCACGACCCAACCAGGGCCGGGGACAAACTACAACCGAGGTACGTGCCCTTAGCGGAAACGGAACCCGGGTCTCTCTGGACTGCAGGCTGACACTCTAACCGCTGAGCCAAACCAGCCAGGGCAAACTTATGCAGTTTTTAAAGAAATAGGCTTATTAGGCATAATTGACACACGCTAGGCTGCATATATTTAAAGTGTACAACTTGATAAATTTTGACATGTATTTACATCTGTGAAATCATAGCACAATAAAGATAATGGATGTATTCATTACTTCTGAAAGTTTTCTCATGTCCTTTGAAATCACTACCTCCCACCTCTTCCTACCCTCTCTCCCATTCCCAGGCAAGCAAAGTATTAGTCATTTTTCTATTAGTTTGCATTTTGTAGAATTTTATATAAATGGAATCATGAATTATATACTCTTTTGTCTGGCTTCTTTCACTCAAGCAAAATTAATTTTGAGATTCAGCCATGCTGCATGTATCAATAGCTCATTCAAAAATTATTGTGTAGCATTCCATTCCATTTCATTTTATAATAATTATTATTATTTTTAAAATCCTCACTGAGGATATTTTTCAATTGATTTTCAGATAGAGTGGGAGGGAGGAATGGAGGAAGAGAGAGAGAAACATCTATGGGAGAGAGACACATCGATCAATTGGTTGCCTCGTGCACAACCCCAACCAGGGCCAGGGATCGAACTGAAACCAAAGTATGTACCCTTGACCAGAACCGAACCTGAGATTCTTTGGTTCGCAGGCCGACAGCCTAACCACTGAGCCAAACCGGCGAGGGCTAGTATTCCATTTTATAAATATACTATTTAGGTAAATACCTAGGATCAGAGTGATATCCTAAGTATGTTTCACTGTACAAGAAACTATCAAACTTTTCCAAAGTGGCCATACTGTTTAGCATTTTCACCAACAAAGTATGAATGAGAATTTCAGTAGCTCAATATCCTCACCACTTAGCAGGGTCTTTTTTAATTCTCAACTTTCTATATGTGTGTAGTTATACCTCACTATGGTTTTAATTTGGATTTCCCCAATGACTAATGATAGTGAGCATCTTTTCATGTGCTTCTTTTCTTTTTTTTTTTGTGGTACGTGCCCCTAGCGGGAACCGAACCTGGGACTCTCTGGTACACAGGCTGACACTCAACCGCTGAGCCAAACTGGCCAGGGCACATGTGCTTATTTTCCATCTGTATATTTTTCTTAGTGAACTGCCTCTAAAATTTTTGCCCATTAAAAAAAATTAGGTTGTTTATTTATTATTATTGAATGTTGAGAGTTCATTACATATTCTGGATACAAGTCCTATGTCAAATGTGTGATTTGCAAATATTTTGTACTAATATGTAGCCTGTTTCTTCATTTTCATAGAAAAAATTTTTTAAATAAAGTCAAGATCTTAATTTTTTTCTTCTATGGCTCATGTTCTCTTCCCTCTGGTACTCTGCCCTGCTATGTCCAGCCACCTTGCCTTCTCTGGACTCCCAGCTCCATCTCAATTCAGGGAGATTGCTAGGCTTTGCCTGAGTGACTCTCTCAGCCCTCCACCCCAGAAATGAAGCCTGGAAACACAATCCAGGAAGTAAGCTGGGGTAATAACACTGCTTACCTCATTTGTTTCCTGTACTCAAGAATCACGGTCTTCTGTTACCTGACGACTAATGTCTTAAAAACCCTTGTTTCTTGTATTTGGTCTGTTTTTGCTTTGTTTCATGTGGATGTGTAAATCTGGTTCCTCATACTACATTTTGGCTGGGAAGTACAAGATCCTTTATACTTCCTTTCGCAATTTAATAAAATCAGAGTTTCTGAGTAAAAGGAAAAGAGCATTTCCAATTAAAGGTGTGCTGGTGGAAAACAGTATAGCTTCAAAAGGGAAATCTGAGTTTGGATGCTAAGGCCAAACATGACAAAAGATGCACTCCTATCTTGAAGTGCTTGAATGGCTTGCAGGGGGTCTGTGAACCTCCAAAATTATATGCAGACTGCTTGTGTGGAATATGCATTTTCCTGAGGTGCCTAAAGATTACATTAGAACCCGAAGGCCTGGATAATGCAAAAATGATTATTCACCAGTACTCTAAGAAAATCAAATTTCAAATTACATAGGGATTTAAGTTAACATTTTCTTCTGAGTTTCTGACTTAAAAAAAAAGGAAGAATATCTATGTTTAGTGCAGTTTGTGAGCAAATTTAGTTGCATGCATGCCATCTGCCACCTTCTCCTGGAACTTGTGTGCAGATATACACATAGCTGCCTCCTTTGTGTCCTTCCTGCTTCAACTTAAATGTCACCTCCTCCGGGCCTTCCCGGACCATTCAACTGAAATTAGGCTCCCATCCTCATAATACTTAACACTACCTGGTATTTTCTTTTCTTTTCTTTTTTTTTTTTTTATATCCTCACCCGAGGTCATTTTTCCATTTTTTGTTCAGATAAAGTGGGAGGGGGAGAAAGAGGGAGAAAGAGAGAGAGGGAGAAAGAGAGAGAAAGAGAGAGAGAGAGAGAGAGAGAGAGAGAGAAACATCAGCATGAAAGGGACACATTGAGTGGCTGCCTCCTGCATGACCCAATCAGGGCCGGGGACAAACTGCAACCGAGGTATGTGCCCTTAGTGGGAACCGAACCTGGATCTCTCTGGACCGCAAGCCGACGCTCTAACTGCTGAGCCAAACCAGCCAGGGCTACCTGGTATTTTCTGATTTGTGGACTTCTGTAAGCTCCAAGAGAACAGGCACTCCACCCAGTACATGCAGCATCCCGTTTCTAGAACAGTACCTGCTAAATGGAAGAAGCTCCATAACTGTGCTTGGAGATAGATAATATTTCGAGTATCAAACGAGCTTCGTCCTCTGTGCGCTGTACCCTGGGAAAAAGAAAGGATTGCCACTCATGAAGGAGCAGGGTGCATACAGAGAGGAGACAGTCTGTGTGTAAGTCATGCAGAGTATGAGCAGCAAGAGAAGCTGCAAAGAGCAGGAACAGAGCTGCAGAAATCTATAAAGACCTGTATTTGAAAACCGTGTCTCTGACTTGAGTCAAGGTCAACCTGAGTTTTCACGGTGCCTCTATGATGAGCTGGGTTGACTCTCTAAGGGAGACACCCCAGCAAAGGTGGACACAAAGGACCAGGAAACAGGGAGAAAAGCCGACCCGCTGGCGTCTCTGCCTCTTCTTTAATTACTACCGGAGGAGAGGAGGGCAGAAATGGGGGAACAGACCTGGGGAGCTGCAGGGAAGCAGCAAGGCGGGAAGCCCTGTTCTGCAGTATGTGAGGCCATGTCACATCGGGAATGAAAGCTGCTCCCCCATTTTATGCACCAGGAATCCTTATCACCAACCAGGGCCATTTCAGGTGCCGGTAACATCCCTAGAGTGTTTTGTGACCTTTACTTCGTTAAGAAAAAAAAAAAGTTTAAGTATTTACTGTGACCAATGCAGCTGACAGAGAGGATTAGAAGTAAAAAAAAGTTACCTCCCTCTCCAATAGTGTCAGCTTTCAGTTCAGCAGATTGAGTTTAGTTTTTTCTTTTCTCTCTTTCAATAAAGAAAGGTAACACATTCACATAGTTCAAAATTCAAAAGTCACAAAGGGGTATAGAGTGAAAAGTGCCCTTAGACCCACTGCTATTCTCCACATCCCTCTGAGGTCTCCTTAGAGATGACCAGTGTAAACAGATCCTTGTATCCTTCCAGAAATATTCTTTTCTAAAGTGGGACCAGAAGTACTCAGAGCACATGCAGAGGCTTTTCCACTAAGTGAGCCAAGGCTAAGGGCTCTGCTCTTCATTTTCACTGGTAAAGAAACTGCAGTAATAGGAGCCATCAGGACTGGGGGAGGGAGGGATCTCCTCTCCCCGTTCATTGGCAGATCACTTAGCGTGAAAAAGAACTGTGGAGGGGATAGCATGTGGTCTGCCAGGTGTCAGGTGCTTTTAATCTAGGACAAAGCTAGTCTAGCTTTAAAGAACGATGGCTAAAGACACGGAATAGATATGGCAAAAGAAGTCATGGCTGTCATGTGTGATAGAGAATAACATTTTAATGTGGCAGATAAGGGCCTTCTCTGAAGAGGTCCTTGTGTGGGGTGTAAGTTTGGAAGAAGAAAGCTGTTTTATGTAAGCCACCCAAGGTGTATGTTTGTTAAGGGGGGAGGGTTGTTACTTCACAGCTGAACTGCGGAGGTCCAAAATCAAAGAAAGAACAAAACAAGACAGCTAGATGGCTCCAGGTGGCATGCCAGGAGACTGACAATCAAAGAACGGGGCCCAGGTCTGGGAATTAAGTTAGAAAGGATCTGACATTGCCCTTTGGAGGGAGGCCCAATTATGAAGGTGAAAGACTTCAAAGAAGTAGAGGAGGAAGGAGATGGCAAATTAGGCAGCTCCACACAACAGAAGATCCAGCTGAACCTACTTGGCAATGGGATTGTCTTCAAAAAGAAATTGGGAAAGGGCAGAAGGAAATGGGTCTGGAGCCTGACTACCTGGGCTCAATCCCGACTCCAATACTTTTTAGCAGTGTGAGCCCAGGCAAATTAAACTCCTTGTGTGTCAGTTTCCCAATAGAGATAACACACAACTATAATAATAGTCTCTAGTAGGGGTGTTGGGTGATCGATTGAGTTACTCTACAATGAGGGCTTAGAACAATGCCAGGCACATAGCTAACTCAGTGCTTTTCAGCCACTGCTACTTTTAATAAAGGCCTGTTCAGGCCTGTTTTGCTGGCACAGAAGTACCTGGTGATGAATCTGGAAAAGCAGAATCGTAGATGGATTTCAGATAGTGGTAGGAGGGACAAGGGGAGTGAACAATAGCACAGCAAGAACACACCAGGAAGGAGGAGGAAAAAAGGGTCCAGGGTGGGGCCATTTCAGAGAAAACAGCCTCCTTGTTGGTCTACCTGTTCAAAGCTAGACGGTGTAAGGGAATGGCTCTTGGAAAATAAGTGGAGAGAGTTTATTTGCAGTTAAAGAAGCATTCTTTAAAGAAATGTGCGCCCAGTTAGCGCACACATTATATTGCTAAGGAGGGTGGCCAGGCTACATAGAAGGAACCTAAGATCTGTAAGTCAGGAGAATTGGGTTCTAGTCCTAGCTCTGCCCTAAATAGCTGATGCCATATGGAGCCAAGTCAATGAACAACTCTGTCATTTTAAGAAGGGGCCAGAACTAGTTCCGAACCCTTAGGAGTATTCAACATCCTTTGATTCTAATCCAGGGGCAGGGTTTCAAGAGAATTTAAGAAGCCTCAAGTCCCCTCCCCTCAAAAAAAAAAAATCTGTTAAAACTAAGCGTTTCTGGGGGTTCCTTTCCTTTTCTCCAGTCCCTTGCCAAAAGGGGCAAGATTTCTAAAATGCTGGCAGTGGGAGAGAGCCACCTCTTTTTCTTTCCCCATTCAATTCAGGCAAGTTTAGGTTTTCACTTCTTCCTGTGGTCTGCCTAGAGATGCTTTCAGGTCGGAGGAGGACGAAATAATGAAAAAAAAAGGGAGGTTTGCTTAAAGGAAACAAACTGTTTTTGATAGCCCGTAATGAGTTCAGGCTCCAACGACCCATTTCACAAACACTGCCCTCGAGGTTGGCATCTGGCCCAACGAGGATTATGAGATCCTGACTCATTAAGGACTCAGGACAATGGACATAATAATAGGCTGTCTCCTAGAAATGGGCAACAGGAAGCACACACGCCCTCCAGTAAAAGCACCCCAAATCAGATACTGGGTCAGGGGCACGCACGGGTTGTAAAACCCCTGGCTCTGACTCCATGAGCCTGGGGGAAGGCCTGGTTATTTAGAAGAATCTTCAGTCCCGCAGCTAAGACATGGCTGCTTGTCCTAGCACCATGAACCTGCGTCCTGTTTGCTTGTCATCCTGTCAGTCATGTTCCGTTTTAAAAAAAAAAAAAAAATGCAGAAAACCTGAATTCAGAGCATCGAATCCTGAGCTTTTTCCAGAGGCGAAGCCCGTATCACCAGGAAACTGTAATAGTAAACCTGGCCTGGATACCGCGCTGGGAAGCCTCCAGCCAGCCCTGAGGGGTCCGCACTGCGGGGCGCAAAGCCACAGCTTCAAACCAAACGTTTTCAGCACCAGCCAATCGCTGGCCGCGGCCCTTCCAGAAAAACGATAAACCTCTACGGGAAGTAAATGACATTAAGGCCAGCCTATAGGCGTGGGAAAAGCTGAAGGGGCGGGGTCGGAATGTACCAATAGTATCGAAGCAGTTGTTGTTAGGAGGAAGAGAGACGCCAGCGAGCGTGCGTGAGGCCGCTCCTGGGAAGGCGTGCCAGGAAGCGTGCAGAGCCAATGGCCACGGTGGGCGGGCGGCCAAGCGCGTGCGCACTGGGATCTGGGGCTGCGGGCGGGAGGCGGGAGGGTGGAGGAGGGGATCGGGCAGGAACGCCGCGGAGCTGCTGCCGCCGCCGCAGCAGCCGCCGCAGCGAAGAGGCCATGTTGTGTGGTGTGTGGGGCGGGGGGAGGAGGAGGAGGGAGTAAAGCCGAGAGAGGAGACGGGAGAGAGACACCACACACACGGCACAAGATGGCCGGAGAGGCAGCAGCACCCCGAGCTGTCAGGCGTTCTGCCGCGGCCGCGGGACCCGCCGGCTGGCGGGGAGCCGCGCCCGGGCGGCCCTCAGGCACGCGGGGCGAAGCGGCCGCGGCTGAGACGAGATCGGCCGCGCGCCGGGGTCGGATCCCGCGGCAGAGGCTCCCGGAATGGCCGGGCCCGCGACGCCGAAAGCGCCGCTGCGGTAGCGGCCGCGGAGGCTCCCCGGGGCCCCGGCGGCTCGACCCGGCGCGGGCGAGAGGCCCGGCGCGGGAATCCCGTGCGGGCGACCTCGAGGTGCCGGCAGCTGCGCTCGGACCCGGTAAGTGGCTCCGCGGCCCCTTTTATTGTCCTTTGTCCTTGGGAGGAGAAGCAAAATGTCCTTGAACGTGCGAGCAGGAGGGGGTGGCGGGCTGGGCCTCTCCGGCCGCCTCTTTGAAAACCCTGCCGGCGTCGTAGGCTGGCTCCCCGAGCGGGAAGCGCCTCGGCGCCGCGGGGCCCAGGGCCGGGGGGCGCGGGGGACCCCGCTGCGGACCCTGCGGTGTGCGGGGGGCGGCCTCACTGCCCCGACCGGCCCCGCCGGGAAAGGGGCGGCGGCGGGGAACCGCCGGCGGGAGCCCGAGGGGGAACCGCGCGAGGAGAGCCCCTCTCTGTTCCGGTGAGTTATTTTGATAATTGAAGGTAAAATTAAAAAAAAAAAAAATTAAAAAAAAAAATCATTTTCAGGGTCTCCACCGGGAGAGCTTTTTTAACCCCTTTCCGGAAAGGTGGGAACTCATCTTGACGGTCGAGTTTAACAGAACAATGGAAGCCCTGGCTACGTTTAAAGAAAAATAAAACTTGTGTGTGTGTGTCTGTGTTTTTTTTTTTTTTTCCTTCTCCTTTTGGGTGTTGGCTCTTAACTCTTTCCAAGCCGATTTTGCCCAGGGCTGCCGTGCTCACCGAGGAGAAGGGACTGGCTGGGGCTGAAACCTTGGTGACGTTCAGGTTGTCTTTTAAAATGCAACTTGGAGGGAGGAGTGCGTCGGGTGTTTTCAGAAATTGGGAAGCCAAGTTGACTGTGATGTCAAGGAAGTCGATTTTAATCACGGTGCTAGAGGGTGACGTTGGGCTCATCGAGTTTAACTGACGACGTTCTTGGAGAGTCTGATCCTTGGATGATGATTCCAAAATAACACTTTCCGAAAGGTCCTACGGAGCCGCTATCTGGACCTTATCCCACCTGAGCGGTAGAACGTACTTGAATCAGTTCCTAGACTTTTAAAAGTTGAAGCTCGTCATGTTGTTCTTTAAAAAATAAAATAAAATAAAATAAAATCTCTGTTATCACAAGCCACGGTCGAGAAAACTTTTACCAAGGGATATTTTGACACCACATCCCTTTGTGAAGTTACTTTCTCGCAGGGTAAATATTAAAGTAGGGTTGCTCTCAGTAATGGGCGAAGAAGAGGAGCCATATTTGTTGCATTTGTTGCATGCCTGAAAATCCAGATATTCTTAAAACCGAACAGTATTTTAATATAGATTGGCTTCAAGAAATTTTGCAGAGTCCTCTGTGTATGACATTGAAAAAAAATGTTTGAGAGGGAATTTTAAGTTGAATGGTCTGAACAAACCACAAGCGCAAAAAACCTTTGTGTATTTTAGAATATATTTATCTTTCCTTCTGCGGTAGCTCTTCTGTGTTGTAAAGGTGCAGATTTACGTAAAAACACTGTTGGGCAATTTTACCTAGGACTTGTAAGATCAAAGATACTGCTGTAATCCACCGCATTTCTGACGGTATTTTTGTCAGTAAAATTGTTTTATTTCCGTGTAGCGTTCATATAGTGCTACATGTTACATCAGTTGCGCATATCTTGATTTTACAGATTATGTTGTTTAAGTACCCGTTTTGTGTTTTTCAAACTAACATTTTTGAAATTTTTTGAGTACTGAAAGTAGTTTTAAATGAATATTCTGAATCTGGTGTTTCAGAATCCTTTTTGAATAGTGAAATGCAAAATAATTGCTGGTAGTTTAACCTCATAAGATCTTTTTACAGGACTAATGTGGGAAGGGAGAGACTGAAAGTGTTCAAGACCCTGGTTTGAAATTGAATAAATGTCACAGATATTACATGTTTGAAACTTGCCTAAAAGACAAAGCTAATATCTCACTTGATGAGATCAAATAACTTGTAGTTTAAAAATTAAAAGTAACCAGTGGCCATTTTAACTTCACTAATTTCTCCTGGAAGAGTAAATTTTCAATTACTCATAATTTTAAAAGGTATTTTTAGGTGGCAAGGGAAACGTTAAGATTCTTGTCTTTAAAAATGGTAAAGTTTTCCTTTGTTTTATTTTGTATTGCCTGTCATCAGAAGAAGATGAAAACAAGGTCATAATCTTAAATCTGTCCAAAGATGTAAATCTTCTGTATTTTTTTATTTAAATGCCTTAATCACAAGTGTTAGTCCATGCAACCAAAAGACGAGGAAAACAAAGACTGATAGATGTTAAGATAAGAAATAACTGCAACCTAAAATGTACAGGTAGTGTGTGGATGATCTGTCTCATAAATTTATCCGTAGATCGTGTCTGTGGAATATTTTTTTCTCATTGTTTCATTATACTGAAACTTAGGCCAAGAAATGTTTAAAAATCAAAACATTAACATCATCTTCCTTTTTTTTTTGAAGGTAACTTACAAGATTAAAATTAAATTTGGTTGATGATGGTTCTGAACAAATACAGCTCTTTTATTTGAGGTAAGACTGGGTAAATTTTTATTACTTTGACATAAAAATAAGCTTACTAGGTTTTGTTTTTGTTCTTTGATAATTTGTATTTCCAGTAAGTAGTGAATATGAATATGAGTAAATATCTGAAATAATTTCACAAAGCCTTTAAATTATTTAATTGGATAGAAAGTATACATGCATAGCCATTGTAACTTAATGTGCCTTTTGAATAGTTTAAAATACTGAAGAGCCTCTACGCCTTTGTTTAATTCTGGGAACAAGAAAAGACTGATTATATTTTGAGCAAAACCATGAACACTTTTCTTTTTAGCTCTCTAATATACTGTGCAAACAGTTTTGATCTTCTAAATATGTAAATAAATAAATTTATTGGGAAATTTGAGCTAGTTTCTACTACTTCTAATAGATTTTAGGGAAGAACATTTTAAAAATCAGGTTTTGAGAACATAGATTTTAGTTTTTGTTTCTTTTATATAATAAAAAGTTTTAAAATACTTGTCCTTACTTGCTATTGGCTGTTGCATCAATAAATTGTTTAGACTATTTTTTTTCCCCCCAAAAGATAAACTATTCTGAAGACTGAGACCGTGGAGTTTTATCTGAGGATAAAGGAAATCTTTGCGGAAATCTATATTTTATATAGCAAGTAAGTAAATGTTTTTATCTGCCATCTGAAATTTTAATAGCTACTACCATCTGAGTAGGAAAATATCAGTAAAGTTTGTCAATGAAACATAAACTGTAGACTGTTTCTTTATATTGAAAAAGGGATGAGAAAACGCCCATCAAATTCCATTTTTTTACATCAAAGTGCTTTTGTATTAATATTGAAACAGTTGATACATGTAGTTTCTATCAGAACAATAAGACAATAAGTACTTTCCAATAAAATGGTGCTTCAGGATTAGGGGTAAATCAGTTTAGTCTTCAAAATTATCTTTATGATCTGAAGTGTACATTCCTTTTGGTGATACTGATCACATTTTAGAAATGGCCTAGAATTTTGCATTTGCAGATCTTAGCATTCTTAAATGAACTATATTTCAAAAACTAAATATAAATTTTCCCATTCTAGTTGCTACTTAATGGATTTTAAATAGTCATTTTACCCATTTTTATGAGTTTGCAAACATATAAAAATGAGTTATTTTACGGAAACTAGAATAATGCATCTAAAGAGACCTCCATAGCTTAGTAATTATTTTTAAGTCATAAAAGGAAGAAGTAATATTCAATATACATACAATGATTTTACATCTCAAAACTGGATATGTGAGTGAAAAAGTACATCCACTGATATTTTTCAGAAAATATTCTTGATTCATAAGTTACTGCAGAATGTGAAAATTAATGTCAAGCTGATATTAGTAAGGATTTTCCAGAGAAAATATGTAATACAATAATAGATATCTTGGGGAATTTTAAGAATAGCCAAATAACCATTAATTAATATAAGGGCAAGTTTACCTTGGTTCTTGAAATTTATGTGGAATCTTTATCTATTGGTGTTTGCTTATTCTGTTGATTCTCAAATAGACGATAAGGGTAATATTTTTCTTGCCGTTGCTCTAGTTTAATTTTTCCTTTCCAATCTTTTGCAGCTTGATCAAATTTGTGTTTATAGTGTACAAAAGAAAATGGAACATTAGACCTTTAAACATAGTGTTTTAAAGATGTAACACGCAAAAAATTAAAAACATATTTTATCCCCAGCTTCTTTAACACAAATGTCAATGTTAGAGTTTCCTCTATGCAAATGATTGGATATTAGATTGTCATTCACATGTTGTTGGCCACTTATAAAAATTGAGAATTGGGCCTCTTAATACACAAGTGTATGTGAAGTATAACGTAAACATAAGTATAACTTGGCAATAAATTTATAATGGCCTACAAAAGGTAAAATTTAACCCATAAAATATGAACTGTTGAAGGTTAGAAATGTTAAATGGAGATTTTTATCTGTTTTTTAGTATCAATAATTACAGAAAAACCTAAATGATATAGTAACTTCTATATTAATCTCCAAACTAATGGAATATAACTTTTTATCACCCACAAGATAAAGGATTATATAATAGGTCACATTTTAAAAACGTACTTCGACCTTCATGATAGTGCTTATATTCTTTGTTTTGATATTTGCTGCTTGAGCCAAGCTTGAATAATGGGCGGTGATATTTTTGATGGACAAAAGTAATAGATACATGAAGACAAATATAAATGTAGATACTATTATATTTCATGAGAAAAGTAAATTATTTAGTTTTCTGCTTAGAGGATTAAATATTTACATTTCTTTTTTTTTTTTGTTGAGTCACCGGAAGATCTTTTATGTGTATAGAGAGAGAGAGAGAGAGAGAGATACACACAGACAGAGACCTCACTGGAGGATCTTTTATGTAAATAGAGAGAGAGAGAGAGAGAGAGACAGAGCGCGCGCGCGCTCGCGCTCTTTCTCTCTGATTGGTTGCCTCCCCCATGTGCCCTTGACCGGAAATCAAACCCACCACTCTTTAGTGCTCAGGTAGACACTAACCATTAAGCCACAGCCAGGACTACTTTTAATTTATCATTTTGAACTAAGTCTTAAGTCATAAAAAAAATTTCACCCCATCAAGTTGATGATTGGGTTGGATTGTGTTTGTTATAGTACTAACTGTTTAAAAAATCTACCTCAAATTCCACAGAAATGCAAGAAGCCATGCTCATAATTAATCACAAGGTTTTTGTGAACCACGAAATGACACTTTGAGGCTAGATTACGTGAAAATGGTAATTTTGAGTATAAAATTTTTCAAGTTTAATTCACTGTTAATTCAATATCTTAATGAAAACACTGGAACTGTGGACAGCCAATTACTTTACTTTTTCTCCTTTCAGTTTTAATTCTTTGTTGAGGGGCAAGCATAAGGGGACAAAGATAATTTGAGGACATCTCTACCTTCTACATTAATGAGAGGTACAGGTGTCTGATAGAGTGGAAAATATAACTAAGATCCAGCAATCAAGAGACCCAGCTTCTAATGTAAATTAAATTAGCCCTGTAGTGTTGACATTTTATTCAGTATATACCTTAGTCTCCTAGTTAGTATAAAGTATCTGGAGTTTCCAGTCTTTTAAGATACCTTTTAGCTCTTAAGTTCTGCAATAAAAATAATAGGTAAGGAGTATCTAATTCTCTTAAACTAGAGAATGGTTTTTGTAATTTTTGCATTGCAAATCATGTAATTTTGTGTTGAAACTATTTGAATAACATGAGACCTGGGCAATTGTTTACCTGGCGTTCTTAATTTTAGCCATTTTCAGATATTAATAAATAGTATATATGAAGACATTGGAAAATTATCTTAAACTAAGGTGTTAAATTGTCTTTCAATAATTAAGATTTAGAATGCTGTAATAAAAGCATTTGGAGTTTTAAGAATAATTATTTGATTAAATATATTTAAACTTTAGGCCTGGTTGGGGTAGTTCAGTTGGTTAGAACACCATTCCTATAGCCAAGGTTGCAGGTTCGATCTCTTGTCAGGGCATGTACAAGAAGCATCCAATGAATGCATGAATAAATGGGACAACAAATCTGATCCCCCCCACCCCCGTCTCCCTCTCTAAAATTAAAAAATAAGTTTATTGTATCTGATGAAACATTTGCGGCTGACTATTGGGATTATAAATAATATAGTTTACATGTCTGGCATAATTAATTTCCTTTAAGAAATCTCTATACTTCAAAGATAGAAATCCTTGTTTTACCAGATAACCTTCCCTTTCTAGATTGAGTGCTTAATTCAAACTTTATTTTCACATTGGCTGTTACTTCTGAGGGTAATTTAGATTCAAGGATGTTATAAACCTTATAAATAAAAACTGTGACTTGCCCTGATGGGTTTTGCAAAGTGGTTATAGTGTTGGCCCTCCAACCTAAGGGTTAAGGGTTCAATTTCTGGTCAAGGGCACTTGTCTGGGTTGCAGGTTCAACCCCCCCACCCCCCACCCCGTTTGCAGTCATGCAGGAGGCAACCGATCAATGTCTTTCACATCCATGTTTCTCTCTCCCCCTCCTTTCCACTCTATCTAAAAATCAATGGAAAAAGATCCTCCGGTGAGGATTAACAAAAACAAACAAACAAAAAACTATGACTTGATTTTTTAATATAACATTTAAGTAGCATTTTTTTCTACAACAATTTGATTTATACATTGTGTAAAGCTAGATTTGTGGTTTGAAAAACAATCCTTGCCCAGCTGATGTGGCTCAGTGGTTGAGCATCCACCCATGCACCCAGGTTGTGGGCCAAATACCCAGTGGGGGGCATGCAGGAGGCGGCCAATTGATGTTTTCTCTCATTGATGTTTCTCTCCCTCCTTCCTCTCTTTCTAAAACCAATAAAGAAATAAATTTTAAAAACAGGAATAAAGAAAAGCAATCCTTTGCTTTTTGAAACTAAACCATTTATCTAAATGGAATATTTCCCAAAGAATTATACTCTTGATACTATTATAAGAAAAGCACAACTGGCTAATGATGATAATATAAGACTTGACTCAAACTGTCTTTGCCTTTTTGTTTTAATCCTCACCTGAGGACATTTTTGCATTTAGCTTCAGATAGAGTGGGAGGGAGAGAGGGAGGAAGAGGGAGAGAGGGAGGAAGAGCGAGAGAGAGAAACATCGATGTGAGAGAGACACATTGAGTGGTTGCCTCCCACATGACCTCAACCTGGGCCAGGGACAAACTGCAACTGAGGTACATGCCTTTAGGGGGAACCGAACCCAGGTCCACAGGTCGATGCTCCAACTGCTGAGCCAAACCGGCAAGGGCTGTCTTTGCCTTTTATTAGAATTTTGCTTTTTATAATTTCATATGAAATGAGAATTTATAATATTGCAAAATATTAAAGATAGGTAGAACATGAGCAAAATTAATAACTTTTATGTCTGCTTAAGCTGATCTTGGCTTCTTCCTCCTTCAAAGGAAGGCAAAGTACTATTTTGTGAATTTTTGGGAAGGAGCCAGCATGGTAGATTGCATCAGTGCTAGCACAAAGTGAGATCCAAGTCCTTTTCTGTATTTGGTGGAGGCTAAATCCAGAGGTACATACTCGTATTAGTAGGTAGCTTTTTATTTTGAATAAGCACTTTATCAGACCATTGTGACATTTCTTTCACAGATATTCCTTGATCAGTTCCACCCTTCTCTTAGGGGTTATGTCAGTTTATTTCACTGGGTTGATTTCAGATTTGTCTTTATTCAGAAAATCCTCTTTTACTTATAAGGTCTGATTAAATTGGAAGCTTAAAAATAAGTAATGCTGTGTTTCTTGTAAATTGCTTTGTTGCCTGTTGGGAGGATATTTTGGCACCTTACTCTAAAAGGTAATTTTGAAGATTTTTGCTGTATTGGCTATGATTGGTTAAGACCCCTAAAGGGATTTAGATTTGGTAAGAAAATCAGGAACTGGCTTTATAATTTGAAAATTTAAAACCTTAGCATGGAAAAGCATTTGGGTAGTTCAGTTTAACTTAAATCCTAAACTATTTTTTTGCATTCTAAAAATTTTTAAATTACCATACTTAAATACTGAACTTTTTTTTTTTTAAATACTCACTTGAGGATATTTTTCCATTTATCTTCAGATACAGAGGGAGAGGGGGAGAGAGAGAGAAACATCCATGTGGACACTTGACTGGCTGCCTCCCCAATAGCCCCGACCAGGCCTGGGGACAAACCACAACCGAGGTCTGTGCCCTTGACCAGAATGGAACCTGAGACTCATTGGTCTGTGGGTCCACACTTTAAATGCTTAGCCAAACCGGCCAGGGCGTGAATACTGAACTTTTAAACAGCTTTTTTGGTAGCTCAACATATTGTGATTATCATAATCATACTTTGGAGCAGGAGTGACTGAAAAGTTATTTACCCATATTCAGAAGGTATCGGAGATATAGGAAACAACTCTTCCATAGTTAGTTTATGAAGTATTTCAGTCTTAACTAGTGAAAATTATTGGATATATTTTTGTTATCAAGTACGTATTTTAGAAAGGTTAGTGTTTGAGTTAAGTAGATCAGTACAGTTAGTAAAAGTACTTTGAAATTGTGCCTAAGGGGTCCTGTCTAATACTTTATCTTAGAACAGTGTACATGTTAATGGGAAATAATATGATAATATATAAAGTGAGAAAACATTACCTTGCAGGTAGGTGATGGAATTTTCCTTTAGAAGATTTAAAGGTAGATGAGGTGAAAAACCAGAAGATAAAGTAAGTTTGTAATGTTAAGGAGTGATGTTGGCTCTGCTAAACAGCTAGGTCTCAACCCTTGCTACCTATTACATCTACCTAGGGAGCCCAGGTTGTTACCTTCTATGTTGGAGTTCTTGAGACTGAGATTTAGACTTATTTATGTGTTTTCATAGTGACTTACTTTATAGGTGAGACCCTCTGTATAGCCAAATTTAAGATTCTCTGGGGTAGAACTTTTTATCTTCTGCTTGGACTATATTGTCCATAAATACACATATGTCTTGGTCTTCTGACAAGTGATCGTTACAAGATGTTTCTGAATAAATCATGGCATATTAATACTGTATTTTTTGTGTGTATAAAATTATATTCTTTCTGTTTCCTACAGAAATGTGATTCCTGAGACTGAATCTCTAAAGGGCCCATACAACGTAATAGATGTTGGTGGAAGCATTTAGTAAGTTATATTCAATTTACATGTTTTATTTGCTTTTAATTTTAAATATGACTGGAAATTTTGAGTAACTGAATCAGAATTGTAAAAATACAGAGGAATTTTAGTGAAGCTCGAAGCAGCACAAAATTATAGAAGTAACGGTTAGATGTGTGTGAAGTTCATTATTTATATTTTGCTTATTAATTTATTCGAACCTATTATTTTCTACTTTCTTCACTTAAACTGAGGCAAGAAGTACAGTGCAGAGAAGCCCACATTTGAACATGTTTCTAACACCACCATAGATCTGGGTGTTGGTAAACTCCCCTGAATTTTTGTTAATAAAGTTTAATTGGGACATAGCTATGCTTTTTCCTTTATGCAGTGTCTGTGTCTGCTTCCCCAGTGCAACTGCAGAGTTGAGAATAGTTGTAGCTAATGGTTACAAACCCTAAAATATTTACTGTTTTGTCCTGTGGAAAAGCTTGCCTACCCTCGTCCTAGATCCATCTCGATTCTCAACTTTACCCTAACTATGTAGAAATCAGAAGTCCTTTGGTTCTCTCTCTTGGTAGTAGAACATACTTTTTAATGGATTCCTGTGTAGTAACTCTAATAAACTAAGTAATTCTGAACTTCCTTTTAACTTGAAGACCTAACCAAAATTTCTTCTCACAATGGGGCTGTGCTTTGATATTAGAAGACAATTACTATGGAATAGTCTTTCTAAGTACCAACCTGAGAAATACTGGGAAAAGAGTTAGTGTTAAGGCTGTATAAAGGAATTTGGATGAGTTCTCAAAAGGGTTTATTTATTACTGACACAATTTTAGGTATGATGATTACGTACTGGCTGTTTCTTAAGTATACTTATTTTTGAATCACATTTGGGAATCTAGATTCTAGATGATAATTTTTGCTTCTAATTACTACTTCAACTTCCAATGTATAAATGGCTATTAAGGCCTGCCAAGTAGTACATTTTTTTTTGGATGGGGCATGGTCAGGGGGTAGAGATGATAACTTTTCTAATGTAGTACAATGACTGACCTTGTCTTATATTTTAGAGATTAATTGCCTGGCATATAGTGGATGCTCAATAAATACTTGTTGATTTATTATATATAGTTTCTATTAATCATTATTTATCAACTAGTTTTTTGGGTCTAGTTAAAAATCAAAGTGAAATTTATTATTGAAACATGAGTTTCAGTGCTTATGCTTTAATTACTAATTTTTTGGTGTGCCTGAAAGTGAAAGCTTCGACTCAGTAAAAAGTAAAACTCATTGAAACTATAACTTTCAGTCTCTTAAAACAGTTTTAAACTAATAGGGGCAATGGGGAAGATTTGATTTGATTGCAGAACCTTTAAATAGGATGACTCAGTTATAATTAATCTACAGTTGGCTGGTCTTTCTCAGATCATTTTGTAGTTAGTTTTTATGCCCATTTTGTTAAGACTCAGATTTGTTAATATATTGTAATATAGAGGATTTGAGCTCTTCTCGGATAGTAAGACAAAAGATGTGAATTTTCTATTAAATGTTTTCAAATTAAAGACCAGTACAAAGAATATTGAAATCAAGCCGTAAGCACCAAACCTTAATTATAAGATAGGAAGGATCGATCAGTTTCTGCTCTGGATTGTAACTATATCCATCTGTCCCTATGGTTTTGCAATAAGTGTTTTAGTTTTAAGACCATTTAATAAAGTGTGGCATTATTAGAGCCCGCTGTTTTTAAAATTAAGAGTCAATAATCACTTCTTTGTCCTTGTATTTCTCCCTGTACTCCACATTTTTTTGCTGTTAGAAATTGAGGATTTGTTGGGAAGTAGAGGTACAGAGATGGCTTTTGGGAGAGCACCTCTTAAACTCAGTTCTGTAATGAACCATTTTCTTGCATTTCAACTAACAGTGTTTTATTTTACTATGTCTCAGTGGTTTTGGAATAAATTTACTGAATTAGAATCTAAAGAGCTCTCCTTGCTCAATTTTGTTAATTTTTGTTAATATTTGGGAATTTTAAGAAGTAGCAGTTATTTCCTACTTTTTTAAACATAGTAGCCTTTACCTTTGCTTGTAGGATTTACCTCAGAACAAGCAATTTTTCATAAAAAGAAGGCATAAACTAGTGAACAGCATAGTAGAAAAGTCTAGCTTAAAGCTTAGCTTGTATGTGAAATAGTGAAAGGTCTGGATCTGTTTGATGATGGAATTCTAGATCAAACCATCACCTCTTTGTGTCTGCAGCAATTCACAACGTTTTGGAAGAAACATGGAATAGTAGGGCTTTGATATCTAAACCCTACTCAGTTTTTTTTTTTGTACTGATACTTTAGTGCAAGACTATACATTCTTTTTTTTTAAGTAGAAAGTGTTTTTTCTTTAAATAATTGACTCCATGATTTTATTTCTTCAGAGATTTCATTACTATTGGAATATAAGTTATTTGAATTTAGCAAAGTTAGTTTGTAGGCCCTCAGGTACTGTGGTTATTGTAGTTTATCGGAGTAATAGCTAAAATTTATTGAGGTCTTTCTGTGTGCCAGGTAATATAAATGCTATGAATGTCCTATCTCATTTAAGCCTCACTACTGCCACATGAGGTAGGTACTGCTATTACTATTTCACAGATGAAAAACTGGATTTTGTTACCAAGAATATTTCTAGGCTTACAGAACTGCCTGCTTTCTTCTTAGTGTTTTAACATAACTTTGCTTATTAGTAATTTTAGATTTTGTAAGAATTTGGAATTCCATGAAAATGAATGACTTACTCCTAAATCCCTCACTCTTCTTTTAGGTGCTTTAATGCTTGACTGAGCACCTTTACTTATTAACAAGATTCTCACTTTTGGCTTTTCATTGACTTTACAGGAGTGCAGATTGATCATGGTTTTTAATGTTATAGAGATGTCTGCTTTCTCTTCTAATGTTCTTTATTTCAACCCTCCCTTCTAACACCTTAAATAAATAACATATGTGAGAGCATGACTGATATATTAGTATTTTCTAATATCTATTTTTATCATACAAACTAGTGATTTTGTTGAGTAATTTTGGAATGATTTTAATGTCAGTAGTTTTTTTTTTCCCCAATAAAAAAAATAATAGGCTTTAAAAGGAAATTTTATATAAAGTCCTGATTTAAATTTTCCCTACTGTTCTGTGGCAGAAGAATATAGAGCATTGATTTATCATTTCATGTACTAAATTGAATAAATTGCACCAGTAGCCATTGAAATGATTGTAACTTGATATCAGTGCTTTAGTTTTATTGTTCATCATCATAGTATTTACTTCCCCAACTTCATTTAGAGCTTGATTTTGCATGAAAACAATAGAGATTGGGGCCCAGCCAGTGTTGCCTAGTGGATTGAACATTATCCCATGGACTGAGAGGTTCCTGGTCAGGGCACATGCTGGGGTTGCTGGCTTGATCCTCAGTAGGGGGCATACAGGAGGCAGCTGATCAATGTCTGTCTGTCTGTCTGTCTGTCTTGTCTCTCTCCCTCCCTCTCTCCCTCCCCCTTTCCCTCCCTCCATTCCTCTTTCCCCCTCTCCCTAAAAAAATCAATTAAAAACCATATTAAAAGAATAGAAATTGGGGGGAAATTGGTTTATAGTCAACTCTGCAAGAGGAATTGTTTATACAGTTCTATATAGAAGTGTATGTACCTTAATTTAAAGGAATGGACAATTCAAATGGAAGATATTTTACTGATGTAAGAACGAATGAGTTGTTTAGTTCTCCGTTTAGACTAGAGAGAAATGGGCAAAATAATGAAGCAGAAATATCTTGTTTATTCCCAATTTCATGACAGTCATTTTTTAATATGGGTGGTAGTGTGTCTTGGTTAACCATATAGTTTAAGTAGTTTTTTTTATTGTATATAGTAGACAACATATATTAATTATAGTTTATGATACAAGGTATTAACTACCTAATGAGCAAAAATGCTCTTATATTCAATCACCTTAACCTCTTAGTCACCTAGATTGTATCTCTATAAATTTAGTTTGAAAGCTGCAAAATTTATAGAGAAGACCAGGGCTAAAACTTATTTTTGCAATGATGTTGATTCTGATGTATCAGGATTATTTATTTAATGGTAAAATCACCTGGCTTCCTGCTTACTCCTTTAATTAAAATTATTTAGGTAATGCATTTGTTGTTTTAGGAGGAACACTTGATATTCTGGCAGTGGGAGTGTTTTATTTGTATTTAATTTGCAGTCTGATAGTATTTAATGGCAAATATCAAATAAACCAGGCTGATACTTTGCAATTTTTATAATTTTTTTTCTAGTGGCTACATTTACTGCATTCTTAGATATGTAGCTAAAGATGGTAGCATCTTTATTGTCTATTTGCGTTCTCTAAGCAAAATTAATTAACATCTATTGGACTGGAAAACTATGCTATGATCCACTGCTTTGGATTTTTTTTTTTTATCTCTTAAGATTCTTTCACATAATTAGTTTTATTTGAAGAAGCTTGCAAAGTTCTCTCATGGAGGTTTAATATCCATAGTGTTGCTGTAATTTAGCTTTTCAGGGTTTTTGAATTTGAATTTTTGTCTTCTCACAGACAGTATAACAATACCACATTTAACTAGTAAGTTTATCTCTTTGCTGCTGCCTTTTTTATGGTTACGTATGTATCTGATAGTAAAAGAACTTTGATTTTCTCATTGACAAGTTGTATGTGTATTTAGTACATACAACTTTAAAAAAGAGTTTCATAGTTTAAAGCTGTTACAAAATTAAAGCTTTTGTATATGGTAAGAGTATCTTCAAGGTGGGTGGATGTTCTGTTTGAAGGATTAAGATTATTGGTATTCCAACAGCGTTTTTTTCTTTTAATGTTTTCATCAAGCACCCAGTCAGCTTGAAGAGTCTCAAATGGACCCTACTACTGAAAAACCAAGATGGCAGTCCACTATGGGGAATAGAGGAAAATGGATTAATACGAGTGCTGTGATAATATACAACCAAGACAGGGTTCTTTTAACATGGATTTCATGAAATGAAGACAATAGGTTTCTTACCCAACACAAATGGACAGTGGATTTGACTTTCTAAAGACTTTTTGTATCATTAAAACAAGTCCATTTTTGGCATTTGGAGATGAAAAATGGTACCTTAACAGAGATGATAGTTTGTATGCCTGGAATTTTTTTCAGCTTGATTTGTATGAATATGACCTTGTGAAATGTTAACTTTTAATAAAATTTCTAACACTTTAAAATTTCTCAGTTTGGGCCTTTTTTTTTTTGAGCTGAAGATTCATTACATTAAATGTTCAGTTATCGCCGTAAATAACACTTTGGCCTTTACAGTTCCCAGCAGTGAAGTGTATTGAATAAAGCTGATAAAATGGCAGTGGTGTGCTGGAAAATATTTTACTTCGTTGATTAAGATTTCTCTCAACAAAGTTGTAAAAATTTATTTGTACTTTAAGAGATGGTCATTTGGTTGAAATGCTGTGTTATGTTTTCTTAAAATACCTTGCAAAATAACCAACCAATGGTTAATAATAGAATCTTTAACTTGCCACATGATTTTAATTTTAAAACATAATGCATTTTGTCTCAAAATTCAGGATGAGTGATAACAGCATTTTTCTGAGTTATTTTGTGTTGATGAAAAGTTTTTTTTTTCACCTGTGCTTCTTAATGTTGTAAATAAAATGTCTTGCAGTAGAATATTTATGTGAACAAAACTGATGCCTCCTGCTGTCTTTAGTTAGAGGAAGAAATGTTGGATTTATTAGGGAAGTATCCTTTAGGATATTCATGAAAGGCCTTAAAATCTTGGTGGCAATATTGTCTACAACATACTTTATGTAACTATAAAAGGAATATTCTGCATTTCTCTTATTCTGTACATTTAGTAACTTAGAGTAAATGAATCACCATGTCACAAGATGACATTTGATTTCCAGGTGAATATTGGCATTTTATTTATTGATAATCAACTGACACTTGTTTGTAAAGGTGTGTGGTAGGCTTTATTTTGTTAAACCAAATGAATTGTTGATAATATTTTCCCATTATACAGGAAAAATTAAGCTTGATTTTCTTTTTTTTTCTTGGTGAGAAATAGTTAATCGTACTGTGATTTGTGATTAATGTAAAATACTAGAGCGACACACATTCATTATCAGTGCATGTGCAGTATGTGTTCTCATTGACTAATTTGAAGTTGTTTGTATATATCAAAAGTGCAGTTTTGGATTTTGATTTTGGTACAAATTTATGTTGTGTAGAAAGTATGGAATTGAAACTGGGTTTTGATTATATGGGGTTTCCATTTACCTAGATGCAACTTGTTGCTTTTGTTGGGTATAAATTGAAAGTGGATATCCTTGGTGAAGAAAGGACATTGTTTTGGAAGATTATAATGTTGAGTAGGGAAAGTTTATTTGACTGTTTCATGGATGTGTGAATGTTTTCTTGGGTGCTTTCTCAGAAAAAGTGTTGAACAATTTGTTTTTGGCATTAGTATTAATTTTGTTTCCATAGATCTTCTGGTTTTGATGTTAAGGAGAATTTATTTGCCCAGTGACATTAAGTTAATTGTTATTAACTTAACCTTGTCCAAATGTAATCATACTTGGCAATTGATTTCAAATACAAGGGAAGAGTTTGGGGTATGTGTGTTGTGTTGGTTTTGGAGGTTGAGTATCTTGGATTTGTTATTTCAAGGTGACTATGGTAGTTCCATATTCTTGAATTAAATAACTTTGTTTTTTGCCAGAATCCATGAGGGAAGCAATATATTGTGATTATGAGATGTTTGGGTGGTAAAGTTTGGTGGGTTATATAATGGGTTAAAGAATTTTGTGAAAGTACAAAGAAAAATTGAGAATGTCCAATAAAAACTAGTTGCATTAATTTTTGCTCTAATGCAACTGAACACTAGGGAGGCGCTCTTGAGTTGTACCCCTTTCTTCCAGTTGGGGTGGAAAATTGCCCCTGAAACTGTGTTTAGATCATTTTTAGGTTTCCTAGAGAAGGCAAAACTGGAATTTAATTTAGGAAATTGATATTTTGCTTTTATTTAGAAATCTATTTTACCTAGGGTGGGGTCAATTTTTAAAAGGATTAGTACTAAAATGAGTTTAAAATTATTTAAGAATTATCCCTTTTTCAAAATGGCTTTATAAAACACCACTTCCTGTCCAGAGAGGAAGTTATTTTAGCTCAAGGACTGAAATATTTAGCAGATCTTTAGACAAAAGGAACAAATTACATTTCTCTCTGGCTTAAAAAGGGTGCTTGAGCCAGAGGGGGTTAAGAAACCCTCCCCCCTTCCCCTGATGGGGTGGTCTGGAGGGGCAGGGAGGTGTGGGGGTGGGGGTCCTTAGGCTCCCTGGGATGGAAGATCTTTTTTTTTTTTTTTTTGGTGGAGATGAAGGGGTGGGTCTATGGTACATCACCTGAGTTGTGGGGTAAATGTAGAGAGTGTCAATCAAAGGCAGAGCTCTCAGAGCTGGGAAGGAGGCTCTAGATGGCGGCTGTGCCTTAGAGAGAGCGCGCTCTGCTCCCTGCCTTCGCCTCACTTTACGCAACTTTCCCTAACTTTCGGGCCGCCTCAGGGGGCCCCCGCAGCCCCCTGCCTCTCCTAGTGACTTACTGGGGTCGATTCGAACCCTTTTTAGGGAGAAAAGCAGCTTTTAGGAGCTTTCTTTTCGTGCCTTGTTGGAAAGAAGCAGCCGTACTGAGAGCCCAGGTCGTTGTTTTTTCCAGCTTAGAAGCCATGGCGCACCTCCATTTTTGTGCGCTCTCCTAATGAGGTTTTTTCTTCCGTACCCCTTTTAGTATTAATTGTTGCTTTCTCTTTTTTGACCAGTTAACATATTTGAGGATTGTTTTATTTATTTTTCGCCTTTTAACGAAGAATTTTGTTTTTATTTTTAATTATTTGGGCTCTGATATTTTTCTACTAGATAGGACTCTTGCTTTGGACCTACTACATGGATCAGGTAAGTTCATGATCATTAGTGATGATTTTAAAGATTTCTGTGTTAAAGTTTGCTTTATTTTCTGTAAATATGAGAAATTCCTGGATGACGCAATAAGATACAGAGATTGTTATTTGTATCCAGTGTGTTACTTTAAGAAACTTTCCTTATTCATAGAGATGATTCCTCCTGGTCGGTGTATCCTGCTTTTTTTTTTTTTTTAAGGTAAAAATAGAAATATTTTGTTTTCTGGTGCTTACCGCTGTTGCATTATAACAATATCGTTACATGGTCAGGACTTTGTTCCTGGTAATAAAACCATCGATAGAAGCTGGGACCTTACCTTTCTTTCAACTTTTGACAGTAAATACCTGGGCACAGGACTTCAAAGCAAACACAGATTCCCCCTCCCCCTTAATATTTAAGAATTAAAAGATGATGAGAAATAAGGACAAAAGCCAAGAGGAGGACAGTTCGCCACACAGCAATGCATCGAGGTATGAGCTATCAACTTTCTTCCTTTTTTTCTTTTTTTGGGGAAACCTCAGCTTACATTGTTTACCTTGACAGGCTAGGGTAGCTGTCGGTGTTATTTTAAGTATTTTACTGATTTGGATTCGTTTTATAAAGCGTGACCTTGAGATTGCTAATATGCCACACCCTAATTTTTTGGTAGCAATTTATGAAAGTTGAGTTGACTTAAGGCCTCTTACAGCAGTCTAAAGGTAAGGTACCTTTATTCAAGGGGGCCTTTTTTGTAAACTACAGTTTTTCTGTCAATAAATTTCAGGTTTTAGGTTTTTGTGCTGTAGAAAAATGACCTTGTCGGTTTAGCCATTGCTGCATTGCACCATTTTACATACAAGGCAAATTTTGTCTTTGAAGAAACTAGGATACCCAAACTTGTAACTGAAGGCCATAGAGAAGCCTTGTGGTAGTAAATTATAGTAAATAGACGTTTGAGAAAGTTATATGAATGAAAAAATGTACATTTTAAAACGAAATTGCAAAAACGAGCCTTTGACTGATGCCTCTCAGTTTATATTTTTATTTGATTCTGTATTTCTTGTGATACCTTTGACATTTTAGGACATTTTTATTATGATTTATCAAAACCTTTAGTCGATGATTACATTTAATTTATGAAATTATGCCTATGATCCCAGAAACCCAGGGGTACTCTTAATATACTTCTGCTTTGTGTTTGTTACTGAGATTAAAATTGTATGTTTTACATTTAAAATACTTTAAGGTATACATTTGTGTGCTTATATTCAGACAATGCTTTCTGGTTGGTAGATGTAGTAGTATATTATCCTGGCACTTTAGTTGTAGCTGCTTTACATTTATTGATTTATTTTGACAGTGTCTCCTGGAATGCTTTATCTTCTGAAGCTTACAAATGTACTGTTCAAATCACGATTTGTTTCACGTTTGTTGGATTACCTTATTTTAGTGATTAAGTAATAAAGCCTCAGATGTTTTGTTGTATGATCTGTATATTAATTTTTAAGAGGATATGAATGCATTTTTTGATGTGTTCTTATAAATTGTCATGTTATGAATTTGAAATCATGTTAACAAGGAAGTGATTTTGATTTTTCTTTGCACTTTGGCTTTCACTTTTATAATTTTGTATAATAATATACTTTATTATTAGGTTAGTGAATATGGAAGTTTTTAATGTGGTTTATTGCAAATGTTGAATTTTATTTGTATCACTAGACTTCAAACATTTTGACCCTTGCTTTCAAAAATACCTTTCCACATTCTTTTGCAAATTGAGTTGTCACACAGTTTGGACTGCTGTCTTTTGAACTGAAATGCCCTTGTAATTACCTAGGTTAGATTTAGGACAGCAAACTTCCCTACTACTCCTAAACTGATTTTTCTGAAAAGTGAAAGTATTTTGAAGAAATAGGAATTCCCACATATATTTAACAAATTACTAAAGATTTGGTACCTACAATTGATACTCCCTTGAGTATGATTTGCATAGTCCCACCTGGGTTTTGGTTTTCTTATGCAAGGTTTGTGGTTAACGTTGATCAAACTCTGCTTTCTAATTTAAAAAATCAAGCAGTGTTGCTATTCTTTTAATAATTGACTTCACCTGGAAATCTACTTTGAAGTTGTCATGCATTTGCCTACTGGCAGTGTGGTTTCAGTTTAATAATCATGCACTGTACTTTTTTTTTTGTCAAGCACACTTTGATTCGTATACCTGATGAATGTCCAAAAATATTTTCGAGACTCCTTGAAGGAGACCGTGGAGTTTTAAATACTTGAATCAATTATGGTTACCCTAAATTGACTACCTTAACACATGTACATAATTATGACATCACTTCCTTTTAAAATTGCAAAGCTGAAAGGATAGGAATGGTGGTGTATTTGTAGTAGATTGTTATTTTTATTTTTAGTGAGCTAAAATAAAGGAGACTGTCCCTTAATCCATCAGAATTTCTCCATTAAGGACCTGTTTCTGTGTCACAAAGTGGAGTGAGTGCTCAGGGAGTACTAACTACGAAAACCACCTTGGCAGGAGAGTCAGGGAGAAGTTCTGCAGGTCAAGTAAACTTCGGTCTGAGAATTACTTTAGGGTCTGAAGGGATTGAGCGCAAATTTCCCCTTTGTGGAAATAATGCAGTACTGACCAGGCATTCTGCAAGTTATTCTTTTGAAGTTAATATTGAAGTATATAATGTTACACTTTGTATATGGCACGACTTTCGAATGGTAAAAAGTCCGTTTTCAACAAGAAGGCTTTCTCGATGCTTGACACCTGTAAAGTTTGTAACTACTGCGAACAGTTGCAGTGAGGGGCCCGTGTAGAAATGGAAGCCGCACTTATCCGAATGATTTGCGCTCTGGGTAACTCCAGTAATACCCCGAGTGGAAGCAGAAGCCGAGGGAGCCAGAGGGGCAGTGTGAGCACTCAGAGTGCTGTGTGCTGGGACTTCTCCGCCTTTGCCATTTCTCTGGGAACCGACACCTTTCATTGCATTTATCTCCAGATCGTCTGCCTTGGGCCAGATTTGTTTTGATAACCCGGGATGCAGTGAGAACCGTCTGCTTTTGAATCAGCTTTTGGCAGTTATTCTAAAACCCCGGGGGGTGATTCGAAACGGTAAATGCAGTTGCTTGTGGAGTGTTAAAGTCGGTTTTTTTAAGTGGCAGCCATTTTATGGCCCCGATCATTCTTACGGATCGGGAGTTTTGAGAAGACTGCGAATAAAGCGGACAGCACCCTGAAATCCCCAAACCTCTTTTTCTCCCCCCGCTTTCCCGATTGGGTTCTCGGGTGCTAAAATCAACGGCATCTCCGTCCTGAGCGCTGACAGCAGCTCTGCGAGCCCCTGGCATCTTGGTGCAGGTCCAGCTCAGTCACAAAATGGCTGTTCCTTTGTGCCGCAGCGCTGACAGACATACTGCATTGCACTGTGTACTCGCCAAACAGCAGGAAGTTGCCGTGCCGAGTTCAAAGGCCGGCCGGCGCAGGCGCCGAGAGCTGATTGGCTGAGCGCACGCCTGGTAACAGCAGGTCAACAGCGTCAGCCCCGCCTCGTGACGTCAGGCGTCTCGCCGCTGATACGAGCGGACGCCGTGACGTTGGGCTGCGTGCGCAGCCCGGGTGCTTCCTCTCAGCCCAGGGAGCGGCGGCCGCGGAGGGGAAGGAGAAGGGAGGGGAGCTCTAGCCGGGACTTTCCGGTGGGCGGCCACTTCCCCGAAGGATCTCGCTCCTGCTCCCCCGTCCGCACCCCGCAGCGCGTGTTTCTTGGCCCTTCCCCGCAAATGGTTTTCCTCTGTGAGGAGCAGCTTCTGCCCGAGGGAAAGGAAAAGGCACGAGTAGGAAGCCTTCGGGCCGGAAACCTGCCAGCTTTTGACATTTTTCGTTTTCTATCCTAGCGAGTTTTTTTTTTTCTTTTCCTTTTTATGGTCAAATGTGATTCGTGAGTTTAATTTTGTTGCCACTGACCCAAACCATTTCGCGCTCAGAGCAGTTTTATTTGCGTCGAGACGTCTGAGCAGGTGTCAGCCGTCTGAACACATGGCTGTTAAACAAAGGGACGCTTCTTCCCACTTGTCCCCGAGCATTTTTTCTCGGTACCGTGCAGTCTGGGAACTGGGGTTTGATGGAAAAAAGCTCGGGTCAGTATGTGCAAAGTGATTTTTTTTTTTTAAGGTACAGTTCAGGAGAAACTGTCTTAGGAATTTTCACTTAATAACTTAAATATCCGGTTAATTTTCTGGACTACAGCATTCGGCCTCCGCTATTGTGCAAAGAGATGTGAGGAAACACTCTTTTTTAAAGGGTTAATCTCACGAGCTGAAGCACAGTGACTCCCCAAATTGAGCTGATAGTAAAATCACTTGGCAGAATCTGGGGAGACAGCTCAGAATCCCCATTCTGGACATTTTAATTCAGTCCTGATGAACTTGTGGAAATACTCGTGGTGATGTTCGTGGTCTGTCTTGTTTGGAAACTCTCGAAAGGATTTCTGGGTAAAAAAAAAGTCATAGTTTACCAATGATGACAGTATACAGGCACAAATAATAAATTTATGCAAGAAGGCAAGGCTATTTTAACATTTTTCTATTGTACTGAACGAGAAGTTGTTTTTTTTTTTTTAATCTTATTGGAGCATTTTTTAAACAGGAACAGGAGTGAACTGTCATGTAGTTTGGCCACAGGTCAGAAACTTGAGTAAAATTTCAGGAGAGGTGGCCTTTCTGAGTGTAGGTAGAGATGTTTACCTGGGCGTATGTTAAATTTCTGAATAAAATTTATAAAAGGTAAAATTCATTATATTGGTTTTGTAGGTTCTCATAGTTTTGGTACTTTAGGAAGAATTCTTTGGATAGTTTGTGGAAACTTTATGTGAAACTGGGTTTTCCCGTTTTGTTTTATAAAGATTTGCTCATCAAAGGTTTTGTAAGTGATTTTTTTCAATTTTATGGTCAAATAAATTCGAACACATTTAACAGCTTAAGAGACAAGTACTGTAGAACTTGATCATTAACTGGTGTTTCCAATCTCTTAAAGTGCATGTAAAGCAACAAGAACAAAGGTTTTCTTAATTGTTTACTGAGGTTTAATTGTTAACAATTTTCACCTTCAATTTCTAAAAGTGGGGTAGAATTAAATAGCATTGCAGCCATGTTTCAGGATCTAAACTACTCTGCTGATGTTTTACCCTAAAATAGATACCACTGCTATAGGAGTTAAAACACATCTGATAATGTAGCAATTTATCTATAAGCTGTTTGCATTTCCCTTGAACCAATTACCTTTTTAAAGAATCAGAGTACTAGGTCTGTTTATTGAACCTACTCTGTGTTTTCCTCCTGTGTCCACAATGGAAATGTATTGATTGAAATCTTTCTCTCTGGATTCTTGCTTTGAAAATCTGCAGTTTCCAATTGATATTTGGCTCTTTGGAGATTAACATCTTTTGTGAAGATTAGGTCATCACAGGAAGGTGGGCAAACTATT